GAGAAAGCGATGAGAGAGAAAGCGAGCGCGCAAATATGAAATGTACAACTGACATTAAAAGCTCAGTAACAGCAGGTCAGTAAAGCAGTGGTTAGCATCGAGTATTAACACCTAGTCCGAGGCAATATATAATATACTCACCGCACAGTGACACTATGCTGCTACTGTCTTCATGCACAAACTTCCTCGTTACTGCCTCTTCCATGATCTGCTTCACCTGCACAAGATGATAATGATTAATTAACAAGCATGCAAATGAAATAGAAATAGAAATCTGCACTGGTATAATATCGCAGGCTTTCATCAGCGCGTGCATGTCTTTGTGTATGTGCATGCGTATCTGTGCGTGTGTGTGTGTGGTGTGTGTGTGTGTTGTGTCGTGCGTGCATTGTGTTGCTGTGTGCTGTGTGTGTGTGTGTGTGTGTGTGTTTGTGTGTGTGTGGTGTGTGTGTGTGCATGCGTGCGTGCGCTTGCAAACGGGTTGAATCAGCATATGGACGTTTATGTGTGAAAGTATACATTTTGCACATGTTGAATGGCAAACTGAAACTGATGAAGTACATTTAACGTGTTTCCACCAGAGAATACAGCCCCACACTTTTCCCCACTATATAGATCGATTCTCCGATATTGCTTAAAACAACAGAAAACGGGCAATTTATCCGGGCCATGGTCGAAATTATCTAGATTCCTTCAGTTTAGTGCTACATGTTTAGACCGCATCCACGTGTTGACTAGAAACTACTTGTTGAATTGCAAAATATCGTCGACTACCTCGCCTCCAGCGCACGGGAAAAAAACATTCTATTGCCACTCGGCGCCATTCAATTAATTGAGTAGCGAATCCAATTTTTTACTCGTTCACCGCAAACGAACCGCACACAAGCCATTAGAGCGAACGCTGACAGATGATACGACCGACCAGAACATGGCGCGCAGCGGAGAAGAAACAGCGAAGGAGCAATCTCACACTGCATAGTAGAGACTAGGAGCAAACGACGTGCCGCGATCAGGGACTACTCTCGCTGCTTAATATGGGCATCCATGGCGAGCGTAGCGAACGTAAAAAAAATCTTTGGGACCGTTGGCAAGCGCAGCGAGCCGAAAATATTTTTTAGGTATCATGTATAATAACATTAAAATTAATATCATCCTGATATATAACACAATTGTTTCAATATATCCATGGATATGTTTTCTTTTTACCTCAGATAAGTAACGGAATGAACCGCTATAACAATAGAAGCATTTAATTTTCACAATTTTCAGAGCTCTGCTAATTTGGGCGTTTTATTAATTTTGTAATTTGCGCGTTTTTTCTAGGGCTTCTAATTTGAGCTGGCTGGCTGTATTCGGTATGGAAAATGGCTTGGATTAGGCCCTGGTTGATCGAGTACGTGCGACGTTGGCAAAGCATCGTCGTCGGTATACGATATATCCGGATGAGATTCCCGGCTAAGAGCTACTTCACGATTATTGGGCGTCGGGATGTTAACATGAACGATGACAGGTGGAATGTACTCTTACCTCTTTCTTCACAGCACGTAGCAATCTAGCCTTCAATTCCTCTTCACTCTCTGCAGACAGAGAGTAAAATGTCAGTACCATTGAACAGAAGACACAGACGTACATGCATGCACTTTTTGTTATGGAGCCCCGCACTTTCCCCAATGAAATATACATGCTGCTAAATGCATTTAAATGTTATTTAAATAAGTAATTATTTTTAGAACATGTATTTATAGTTATGATTATATTGAGTTCATTCATAACGATGCATACATGAATTCTCACGCGTGCATAATTTATACATTGCCTTTGCATATACAGCACTTTCTACTCTATATTTTAAATAAATGTTTCTAGACACATTAAAAAATAACACAAAAATGAACAAGATGGAATATGAATATCAAAAAAAATCGCCACTCACCATCAACATTGTTATTGTTTACTGTCGCCATTTTCATTTGGATTCAAAATCGAACTTCCAATCAAAGCTTGAGACCAGCCCAAACACCAATCAATAAGTCAGACCTCCTGCAAATATAGACAACTCATTATTTATCACATTAGCCACATTAATTACACCCTGCAAACATGATCAATCTAGTCTTGGCTTTAAATTCTCGCAGTGTGCACACGCTATCTCACACTAAACAGGCGCTAGTCTGGACTAAGTATCCATCCAAAATCGATGGCCCAATCAGTGGGCCAAGCACACTCTAAAGCGTGATAAATTGTCACATACCAAGTTATCTGAAGCTAAATAGTAACGTATATGTGACCAATGCCAAGCGCGGGTTAAACTTCACAGCAACACATATACCGCGTTACACGACGGCGTACTTCTGCAAGCCTAAAACTAACAAATGTCACACCGGACGTGTGACATGGCAGTAATGAGCATGCGCCGGAGAAATCATACAGTGTCAACCACGTCACAGTTAACGAGATGAGAGAGGGTGGATGACGCATGCTACTTATTCGTCTGCGAAACGAACGAATGGTAGGCAACACTGTGCCCCCAACGAGTATCGAATCTCATAGGGTGTCTATGTGTCTACGGCTGGGGGGAAATATCGCCCATATATCTCTGCCTATAATGTCTACAGTTATCGGCTTAATAACGAAAGTGTAGGTAGCAGTTTTCTACGATCCCGCAGGGCAGTTTCGTGAACAGTAACGAAATTGGTTGATAATTGCCTTTAATTATGCAGGGAAACAGAGAGACTGCCTGAAGGTAAATTCACAATACACTAGACTGGTCTGCTCAGATGACACGTGCGTCTGAATTTTAACGTCTGTCTACATTTACGTACTTAAAACGTGATCGCTTAATTAATTAACGAATTAATTAGTAACTAATTAATTAAACTTTCGAGCCTCGTCATACTCTCCGATCCCTCGCTAATTAGGACGGACTCCGCGTTATTAATATGTGTCATAATTATGCTAAGCAGAATACGGAATAACTTCTCAGTCGCCTGCATCTTAATACCCATGCGAAGCCAAAAAAATACAGTTCATTTCGCATAGGCTTTAAGCGAAAGTTCTAAATGTCAACTTGCTGCATATCTCACGTCATACCACGCTACATTACGACCCAGCATACATCTGCGATGCTCCCGTCATCACAGAACAATGCAACAACAACAACCACAACGACCGCCTCCTATAGCTAAGCTTTAATTATTCACGAACGCACGAAGTGCTGTCGCCGCAGCGCCCCAGAAGCGAACGCTCGTTACAAGTCAACGCCGGAGAGGCGATCGTAAATATCAAGTGTTATTTTTTCTCTCTACGTCTACGCATTCTATAGTACCATAGCGCGCGCACAATGAAGAACTTACGGAGCTTGCCCCCTCTCCCTGCGTATATTTCCCCACTGACTCTGACTCTGGCTCTGAGTGAATCTTGTATCGAACACCCCCTCACCACTATTGGCGGTCCGGAGTCAAGCGGTGATGGAGAGACGATCGTAAATCGATATATCGTAATCGTAATCGTAAATCGATTATCGTAATCGTAATCGTAAATCGATTATTCTAAGCGTAAATCGCAATCGTGGTTTTTTTCTCCTCTACGCACTCTAGTACCATCGTGCGTGCAAAAGAACAAGTTACTGATCCCCCACCGTCCCACCCCCTCTCCCATCCCCCACGTATATTTCCCCATTGACTCTGACCTTGAGTGAATATTAATTAGGTCGCCCAGACCTTCGCTCCCTGGTCGGGAATCAAGCTACGGAAGGGTTGCGTGCGGTTGCGTTTTACTGTGTTCTTTATGCGGCCGGTGAACCTTTACTTTCAGTTTTCATACTCCGCACGCTATAGCGTGTTATAGCCGCGGTCGGCTGCACGCAGCGTCCCCTTTCAGTTTCTCAGCTTCTTTCAGAGAGAAATCCGACTCCATTTATGGTTTCCTTCGCGCGTGAAAGCGATTACGCATATGCGGGGGGCGTTCAGCGTAAAGGACATTCCATTCGTAATAAAATTTAGACGCTCACAAAAAGGGAAATTGGAGGTTTAGTACTGCCATCGATCCAAGTATGAAACAATTTCCTACTCTTATAACGTGAATACATGACAGTCATGGTATGGAAAGACTAGTTATAGCATTGCACATACTTAGCAAAGAGAGAATAATGAAAGTCATCGTACGGAAAGTCTAAATTATCTCATTGTACGTACTAAACAATGAGCTAATTTAGAATTACCTACCACCATACTTGATGTAAAACTGTGAGTAGCATATGTTCCTGAACTACCTACCAAGAATTATTTAGAATTCCCTACCAATAATTATTTAGAATGACCTACCAATAATTATTTAGAATTCCCTACCAAGTCACGCAGACCATATACTTGTGGGGTGTAAAACTGTGGGTAGTATACGTTCATGGGTGCCATTCAAAAAATACTTTGACGCAGCGGATGTTTTCATCAGTATATATAGACCCATAGCAGGACGGAGGTGAAGTATGTAAACATATACTACGTATATATATATATATATAGATACGTCCCTGGCAGGATAGAGATAAAGTGACATATAATACATCCTTGCAAGAGAAATAAGTATGTTCCCGTTTCCTTCTTACGTCTGCAAAGGTGTCTCTGTCTTCTTGTAATGACGTCTGAATTGCATGACGTTAATTTACGTCGGATTAAGAAACCCAACACATACGACACTCTTGTGGAATTAAGATGCCACTTGTAGCTCTTTTTGTAGTGACGGTGGAAGAATTCTCTTGAATATTTTGACTATTTGAATGTTTGCTTGTTGCTTGTCCCAACACTGGCCATGATTGATCTTCCCTTCATATCTTATGATAATTACTCACTCAACCAGCTAATCCACAATTTTACCATAATTTTATTCCACTCGCGATTAAAAGATCACATTTCTGCACGCCGCAGCGACAGTGACAGTGCAGCGGCAACCGACTCAATATGTCACGATGTTACAATGTCACGTGTCACAATGTGTCACGATCG